CGTTCATATAAATGTGTAAAACATTCACTTTTTATTACATTATTTTTTTTTAACTCACTATAGTATTGTACTGGTAGATGCATTACTTATTTTAATATTTAATTTAGTCTATTTTTATTTTTTTCATTATTTTCATGCATTTTAATTCATTAATTTATTTATTAAAAAATTTAATATTTATATTTATATATAATATTTACATGTCATTAATGCATGCTTTATAAAAATTATTGTCTATTTGGCTTAATATTTACTTTAAAAAAACTCACTATAGTACTGTACTGGTAGATGCATGCCTTATTTTAATATTTAATTTAGTCTTTTTATTTTTTTCATTATTTTAATGCATTTTAATTCATTAATTTATTTATTAAAAAATTAAATATTTATATTTATATATAATATTTAGAACTGTTGAAGACAACACGCGCTAGACGCAAACACTGCACTGTGTACCGTTTTATTAAAGTATCTGTTGATAAAATGCTATTTGATATTTGTGGTGTGCTTTATTAACATGACTATATATATATATATATATATATATATATTAAACATCACATACTTTTTCATGCATTAAAACAGCACTGTGTTTAATAAAACCAAGCAAAGACCAAGCTAGTCAACACCAACCTAAACACTTATTTATGAAACATGTCATAATCATTACGCTGTCTATTTTGACAAACAGCTTACCAAGTAAAAGCATCAAATACAACATACCTGTCAACAGAACATTAAAGCTTATTTATACATCACACCAGATTCATTTACAACCAAGGATTAAGTTTGACGATGTAAACCTATCAAATATAAAACACTTTTCAACACCAATAGGTTTTTTTTTGTGTGAAACACACCATGACTGTTTATTTAGCGAAATGACGTCAAATGAAATCGTCCGTTATTAAATATTTACTCAGATGAACTCATGACACATTTCTCAATATCAGTATCAAAGTGCTTTAGCCTTTTAGCCTGTTAGCAAAACAACTGTTATCATGACATTTCAACAGAGCTCTCGCTTACCTGACTGTCTACCGACTTTAGCGGAATCTGATGACGATCTGCTCAAACATTCCCATGCTGTTGGTCTGCTAAGCTCATAAACAAACATATGATGAAGTGATAAACTCCAGTCACCATCCACTTACATAAACAGCAGGCAGCTAGTCAGTTACCATCCACACTAAAAACCCGCTCGCGCGGCTGCAGGCGTCCGTTTAGCAGGAAAGCCGGTTAAACACATTTTATTTCACTTCCACTTCTGCTGCTGTAACTTTGAGCTGCTTTACTTGCGCACTTCACGCGTCTGAGGTGGTGCTGTCACACTAGCACGCGAGCGTTGAAGGGCGAGACCCGGTGCATTGTGGGAGTTGTAGTCCGGAGCGGAAGCACGCCTGACGTGGATAGGCTCGTTCGAGGGGAGTAATTAGTAGAAAGGGTGGGGTTTGGAGTTTTAGCTAGAATAAGCCAGAAATAGCGAGAAAGGCGTGTATATTTTATGTTCACGTGTGAAGTATTATGGTATCGACACGAGTATTACGCCTTTGGACGCGATGCGCTGATAATGCCAGGGTGTGCCATATAATTATTTTGGTATCTGGTAATCAGATCATAATAATGACTATATATTTATTTGAAGCACTGCTGAAACACTACTCGTTCGCAGAAACTAATACTTAAAAACACCTTGGTACCATTGAAGTTTGATATACAGTATCAGTACTGTACATATATAGTATATAGTACATAGAATATCACTGTTTTACAATATTTAAAAAACAGTAGTACCATTTAGGGCTACATCGCTAAATAATTGTCATTTTTGTAAATGTAGCATTGTTTCTATTAATATTTAAATAATTTTTTTTTTTTATATTTAACGTCTTTTACTTCACTTTTTCATTGTAGGTAATATATTTTTTTTATTTGTTTTGAGTTTTTTTTTTTTTTTTAGAAATGTCTTTTTTTAATTATTACATCATGGTTAAACTAAACTAAAATACAAAAAATAATACACTGTAAAACTATTAAACTAAACTAAAAACTTTAAACTAACATAAGTTTAAGTTTTTTATATTTTATAAATATTTTTTTATATTTATATATTTTTAGTTCAGTTAATGTTTAAGTAACAAAAATAATTTATGGTTTTAATTTTAGTATGGCATATTTCTGTGTATTAATATCTAAGACCACTACTGAACCACGATACCTCAGAAAAAAAGTTATCAAAGCAATGATAATTTCTACCAAAATACTTGTTACTATAATTATAAAATGTGCATTAAATAAAAATGAAATAAAAGCTAAACTTTAAAATTAAATTTAAATATTTTGAAGGCCTATTATACTATATATATTATTGCAGTTAGATATTTTAATGTATTATGATTTTACAGTTGCAACTATAAATGGTATTTCAGTATAAATGTACGGTACATTTTTGTAAGGGAATATTATGGTCAGTGTGTAATATAGACACATCAGTGTGAGCCTAGAGCTGCTTGATTTAATCACAAACACTATCAGTTCTAGAACAGAGCGGGTTTAATCAGAGCTTCAGCTAATATTGCAACACAGAAAACACTTGTGACTCATATTTTGGCTCACCTTGTGCATGAAAGGGTATTCGCATTAATAAAAAAAACACTTTGGAATGTTAAAAATAAGCATGAAACGCACTGCAGTGAATGCACATACAACTGGCAGGGTGATGGTCTTTAGATTAAATATATTATTAAGGGTAAAACGGCCACAGTGTGACAATCCAGCAGTGCACTTCTGAATTAAGTGCACTTGATTCTCGCTGTCAGCATCAGCTCAAATGAATCCAGACCAAGCACAGTGGACATTCGTGGGTAAAAAACCTCATACAAACTATAAATAGTGGCAATAAAATGTTTAAAGTAGTGCTGTCAAACGATTAATCGCGATTAATCGCATCCAAAATAAAAGTTTTTGTTTACATAATATATGTTGGTCAAAGACGTTAAGATGTCCGCATCAAAAGAAATGGACAGAAGTGATTATATGTCCATAGAAAGCACATTAAATGTAAGTAAAGTGTCTACTTTTAAGGTTTCAAATACGTTTTTGGAGAATAAAATGCTAAAATTTGGTTGAAATAATGTTATGTTGTCATTCAGTGTAACACAATAGTTATGTAAAAATTAAAACATGCTTATTCTGACGTGTATATATTAAAATATATAAAATAATAAGGGAGCATATTAAATTTTATTGGGTGAAAGTAATTAGTCTTTTAATATGTCATAAATTGATTTTTGTTGTAAATATGCCTGACGAGATTGTTACACTGAATGACATTCTAGTGGGTCTCTTCTGTAAATCAGGGAAAAATGTATGATATTTATTTTTTGCTCGGAAAAACAAAAACAAAATTGCAATTAAATTAAACAGAAAACTTTTTAAAATTTTTTTGGGAAAAACAACAACAATTTAAAGCAGCATTACATTTACTGTTTTTATGCTTAAACCCTTTTTCGTCTTTGACCCATTTATGTGTACTGTGTATATTTATAATGTATATATAAATACACACACATACAGTATATATTTAGGAAATATTTACATGCATATACATTTATATTCTTGTATTTTATATTATATATAAATATATTTATTATATAAACATAATATTTTTCTTAACTATACATGCATATGTTTGTATTTATATATACATAATAAATATACACGGTAAACGTACATATATTATGTAAACAAAAACTTTTATTTTGGATGTGATTAATCACGAT